TATTCAACGGCTTGTCTTTGTCTAGTTTTATAAAGACTTTGAACAATTCACAAGACATTTTGCTTTTTTTGAATTGATATAGGGCAGAGTGCCTTCTCCGGGTCAGGGGGGTCGCCCTGTCTCAAGTGGAGGAGTTTAAGTATCTGGGGATCTTGTTCACGAATGGGGGAAGAACGGAGCGGGAGATCGACAGGCGGATTGGCGCAGCGTCTGCTGTAAAGCGGGCGCTGTACYGGTCCGTCGTGGTGAAGAGAGAGCTGAGTCAGAAAGCGAAGCTCTCGATTTACCGGTCGATCTACGTTACTACCCTCATCTATGGTCATGAGCTYTGGGTCATGACCGAAAGAACGAGGTCCCGGATACAAGCGGCCGAAATGGGTTTCCTCCGCAGGGTTGCTGGACTCTCCCTTAGAGATAGGGTGAGAAGCTCGGTCATCCGGGAGGGACTCAGAGTAGAGCCGCTGCTCCTCCACGTCGAGAGGAGCCAGTTGAGGTGGCTCGGGCATCTGGCAAGGATGCCTCCTGGACGCCTCCCTGGTGAGGTATTCCGGGCACGTCCCACCGGGAGGAGGCCCCGAGGAAGACCCAGGACACGCTGGAGGGACTATGTCTCTCGGCTGGCCTGGGAACGCCTTGGAGTTCCCCCGGAGGAGCTGGAAGAAGTGGCTGGGGAGAGGGAGGTCTGGGCCTCCCTTCTGAAGCTGCTGCCCCYGCGACCCGACCCCGGATAGGCGGAAGAAAATGGATGGATAGATGAATGAATTGAAATGTGAAGAAACAGAATTGTTACAACCATGTTCCCAGTTTCACTTGGTCTGAGGGAATTGGAACAATAATTATTATGGGATGTTTATGAAAAAAATAATGGAGTTTTAAAGCTAAAACATCCTCTACATGAACCTCACCTGTCACTTTCTCATAGCGAGACTTCAAATTGTACTTTTTTGTCAGCCCTTTGGGCACTTCTCCTTCCTGACCTCTTGTATTTTATCTTCCAGCAGCTTCTGCTGACAAAAGGCCTACTAAAAACAATTTCCGCCACAGAAAACACAATTTATATGTACATTACTCATGACTGATTATATTTTTTGCCATTTTAGAGTTATCAGAAAATGCAAGCTGCTTTACAGATTTTATTTAAGCTCTATGTTTAGTCTTTAGATTCCAGACTTTTTGAGTTGTCTTATTTGAATTTTTGAATTTTGTTTTAAAAACTAATTTAAAACTAAAAGAAATAAACGCCTTCAATATAACAGCTCAGTCTTTTACAAACATAGACACAAAGACTCACAGGATTCCACAGTTTCCATGTTTTGTTTCACAACATCATGTTATGTTTGACAGACACTTGTCAGACTGAAGTGTCACTACATCTGCTGCTGCAGTGGCTTCACAGCTTTTGTGCACATCTGGCCGTGTTCCCAATGTGCAGGCCTGCCTCATTACCCAGTGTCCCTCTGTGCTGTCATGTCTGAAAGCAGGCTTTTGCTTTAATGTATTATACATCACTTGCTCCCTGTTTCTGATAYGACTGCCGACAAGAGAGTGTGAAGGAGAAGCTGGTGCCCAAAGATGCTCGCACCAGGATCACTGATCCGCCACGCCACAAAGCAACAACCACCGAAATGTGCGCTGACGCTGGAACCAGTTTATTTGTTTTATTAGAAGCTTTATAGAGCAGAAAAGTGCCCTCGTTTATCTAAATGTGTCTATAGACAAAAACAAAGCCATGTCTGTGTTGCTGTATAAATTCTAGAGAGATTTCTGATTGGCTGTGAGGTTGATAGAAAGCAGACCAATAGAAACAGACCTCCCCCTGGCAGAGTGGCAAATATATTTAAGARCCAATATACAGTTGATTTTGGCAACTCCATAGACATTTTCTGTTTTTATGAGGTTGTTTGTAGGAAACATGTTTTAAATTTGTAAAAATTGGTATTTATCAGATTAAGCATCTTGTAATTTCTTCAACAAAATGTTCTCATCTTGAAACTCCTAATTTAAGCTCAATGTGTTACACACTGATAACATGTCATCAATTCCACTGAAATAATGATTCTGAAACTCCTCAGTAGGTTTAAAATAAATTATAATGTATCAAAGAGTTTATTTATTAATATTTTTAATACAAATTTGACAAAATGTGTGAAACTTTAAGGTCATCTCAGTGTTTTTTTTTAAGCACCGACCTGCTAAAAACTAAAAGAACTTTGAAAAAGACTCATGTCAAATCTTTTCTCATATTCAATATGGATCACCAGCTTCCAACTCAAAGGTTGATTTCACAAAAAAGAATTGGACTTTAAGCACAAAAAAAAACATTCTGTTTAATTGTTGTTTAATTACTTTCTTCCTCAAAAGATGTTCAAATTAAATGAAATACAGCTGGAACTTCAGGTAAACATTTTGAAGAATGATAAAAAAATAAGTTAACTTCCATTTGATTTAATCTAAGATTGTCTTGGATAAATAAATAATCTGAACCGGGACATGTATAACATG